CGGAGTTCCCATGGAACCCGAAGCCAATGAGCTCCCAAAAGGCCTCGTGCTAGGTAGGGATGAGAATATACATATAAGGATCACTCTCCTGGGTGACGTGGGATGCCACATGTATTAGGCACATTTTGTTAAAATTATATATATATATATATATATATATATATATATATATATATCTGTGTGTGTGTGTGTGTGTGTGTGTACAATTAATTTATCCATATTTTTATGTAAAATAAAATGTGATTAATTAATTAAGTAATTTTGAATCAGTTGGCTAAAAACATTTATTTATTTTGTAGTTAAATTATTTTTCATGTGATATTACATATATAATAGCCACATTTTGTTATTATTATATAGAGTGTGCAATCAATCGATATTCTTTTACTTTGTAGGTATATTATATATATATATATATATTTGCACAATATTGGTCTTTAATTAATTTTGAATAAAAAATATTTATTTATTTGGTAGGTAAATTATTTTGCATGTATCATTACATAATTTACTAGGAATTTATATTATTATTATACATATGTTGTGCAAAATCATTTACTATGTTATATTTATAATATTGATAATTTTGAATAAAATTACTTTTTTATATTCGTAGGATATACTAATTTACCTGTTAGCATCATATGAAAACAACTATATAAGGAAGATTGGCTTCATGAAAAATTTTGTTATTAAATGCATAGGAATCATGACATTTAATTTAATTTTTTTCCAAACCCCACAAGGCACTTGAAGACATTTAATTGAATGAAATAATGTAAAATAAATGTAGATAATAAGTGAGAGACCCAAAGCAAGTGTTATTAGGGGTAATTTAGACATCCAAAAATACAAATTTTGCCAAGTCAAACTTAATTATGGATATTGCTTAGTTTGAGCGTAGTTATTGGGTTTTTGTTAGAGATCATGATGGGTTTTAGTTAAACAAAATTGAATTTCAAGGGGTATACTCATATTTTCAATAAAAAAAAACAGAAGCAGTGTTTACCATGCTTTTAAAAAAAATGTCATTTTATTTTATTTTATTTCAAAGCATATTAATCAATGCTCATTTAATGCAATTTTTAAATGACAAGTATACCTCCACATATTTAAAAAAATTTCAATCTTTATCCCTACATTATTCTTTTGACAATTATTATATCATATTAAAATACCATATCCCTTTTAGTCATTTAACATATTCACATCAATTTATATAAGGGAATTGTTATTGGCACTACAAAAATCTCATGTGCTTGCAAGATCGCTTACAAAAACATTACCACAAGCTAAGGGTCTATTTCTATTTGAAATTTTTTATCATTTCTTAAAAATATTTCTTGAAAATAATTTTCTTTAAAACTCAAAAACTTGATTGGTTTGCGATTTAAAATTTTTAATCCTACGACTTAAACTAAACAAAGAGATCTAAAAAGAGGGGGTCGCAGGAGAGGGAGAAAGATGATGAAAGAAAGTAAGAGATGATTGATAGAAAGAGAAAGAAGAGAGAGGATTAGACGAGATAGAGAGGAAGATGAGTGAGAGAAAGAACCGAGAGAATGAAGAGAGTGTATTGGAGGTAAAAAAAAGAGAGGAGAGATAAAGAAGAAAAGAAAGAGAGAGAGATTTGGAGTGAGAGAGGAGGGGAGAGAGAAAAGAAAGGAGTAAGTTTAAGTTTAAAAACTTTAAATACTCATTTTTTATGTTTTTAGAGAATATACTATATTTTTGAGTTAGTCATGAGTTCAATTTTTTAAAATAGTCATACCAAACAAGTTTTTAAAGCTTAAAACTTGAAAATTATTTTTGATTTTAAAAAGTTGGATTTAAGTAGATTACTAAACAAATCCTAAAGCTTTCCCCCAAAATTACCTGATGACGTTTTTATGTAACCGATCACTGAAACATTACCACCACAAGCTAAAATCTCAAAACCCCAAAATCATTTGGTCAACAAAGGAATAGAGAGAAGCACAATTGTCACGTACATTGTTTTGAATTCATGCATTTTATCCTGATTGATCATTATCCCTATTTTGAATGCATGCCTTTATCAATTGCAAGTTGAAAAAAAAAATACTACATTGAAAATATTTCAGGTACACATAAATTTCACGTAACGATGATATACTCCCTCCACGAATGATTGAGAATGAGATCGAGGTGAAACATCGCTGTTGTAGATCTGTATCAAACTCTTGAAAATTTTCACTTGTATTTTTTTTTTTTTAATCGAAGGTGGTGTAAACTTAAACATTATTCTTTCTTTTAAATATATATTGACGGGTAAGGTGGGTGAATGTTGGTTAGTAACGATGATTAATCATCAAACTCAATGTCAACCACAATTACATAATAGAACAATTGGCTTCTTGCAGATATTGATCATGAACTACGTGACAGTGTAGAGGATGTTGTGGATGGACTTGTATTGTCTGCCCTCCTCATTCCATACCCTTCCCATCCCTCCTATTTATGTGGTCAAGGTTAAACCACGTCAACATTTTATATTCCCATTGCTTTTTGTCTTATTATTTCTATAAAAAAAAATCAATATAAAATGTTGACGTGGCTTAACCGTGACCATATAATATAGGAGGGGATGAGAAGAGTATGAGATGGGGAGGGCAGACAATCCAAGTCCGTTGTGGATATTGGATATAGTTTGATGTCCAAGTTATTGGATAAGTAGTTGGTTTTTTCTCGTCAGTTCTTCCTATAACTTCTTCAACACTTAGTATGGTGGCATGGCCAAGCTTCTTCCCCAACGACAGGGTCAATCTCATGGAATCAACTCCATCTCCAACCCATCCAGCTGCTCTGTGTCCGTTTCTATCGACACTTTGCTCCCGCCTGCTTACAGGTCGATCATATGCTAATTTTCATTAGTTAAGATAAAAATATTTATATTGTTACCAAAGAATATATATAAAAATAAAATAAAATAAGAATGCCCAAGTCATCTCCGTTGATAGAAGGCTAACCATAGCCCGAATTATAATTTAGCCCTCTAAAATACATATTTTAATGTACAGGTGAGGCCACATGGGTTCCAAAAAAATTTAGTCCTAGTTTGATAGTGAGGTGATTCTGAAAAAAGTAACTATAAAAAAATACTGGGAGCTTTTTTATGTTTGGTAAACATTTAGCTTCAGTTTTTTTTTTTCACAGTTTTGGGTGAAAAAAAACCAAAAACAAAAAGTTGCAAAACCCAGCTTTGAAAAACCAGCTTTTTTTTCACATTTGTTTTATATAAAAGTTTATCAAACAATAAGATATGATATTGTTTTTTTCTTTTCAAAAGCATTTTTTATAAAAAAGTTTACCAAATACTCTGCTGTTTTATTTTACAGCTGTTTATTTTCACAGCACAGCAGAAACTGTTTTTTTTCAAAGCGCATCAATTCCAAATCAGTCCTTAGCCTTGGCTAAAAGGCTTGTTATATTTGGCAAGCCTGGTAACTCTTTAATTAGCTCTCTAATTCTAACCTGCTTGCAGGAGATGGCTTTTAGATATTTCTGGACTAAAAGATCCATTTAGATCATGGATGAGGATGGCCTTAAGTTTAAAAGACTGGTGCACATTTTTTGCATACCTTTAGCGACTGCAGCAATCATCAAGGCCTTGGTTCTGAGTTTTTCAAGAGCTCAAATGCACTTTCATAACTATCTTTTGTTGCACCATTGTATAAAAATCTAGCTTTTTTCCGTACGGAAACTCTATATTCTATGAATCGATGAATTTCTGTTGGGTATTTTTGTTTCGTGTACTTGAACACTTCAGCGGTTAATAAAAAGTACCAAAAAGCTATGCTATATTTATAGCATTATTCTAAAAATCTCTGCGTCGCCTAGTCCTTATCTAGGCGCTAGGCGGTTAGCCACTGTCCTGATTAGATTCTAGGCATTTAAAAATTAAGAAAGTGCGCCTAGATCCGCTTAGGCTTCCGCCTAACTCGCCTAAACCTGCCTAGGTGCCTCCTACCTCACGACTCTCATTTAGATAGAAAGTCAGTAACTTTAATTTTTGAATTTTATTTTGTCAATAAAATGTAAGAGACTTGTCAAATATTTGGATAAACACTCATTATATGCTTGTTACCTATTTTGCAATACATTCAAAAACTTTGTAATTTGTATGTCATTTTATTTTACAATTGATAAATCACAATACAATTATGTTTTTTTTAAAGTATAAATATGCATTTATTTATATAATATATAATAAGTTTTGCTTAAAATCTGTTTAGTCCGCTCAGACCTCTACCTAAATCCCACCTAACCGCTTAATAATACCATTACCTACCGTTGACTAGTCTCAACAGGAGAATCTATTTCCCCAGCTTAAAAACCTAGGTTTCCACACGCTTAGCCAACGACACCGGAGATTACTCAAATTAATTCTTTAGTAAAATCCAGTTGACGTTTACTTTGATTTTCTAGTACCTCCATCTCCTCATCAGAATGCCTTGTAATTGGGTGTTCAAAGTCACGCACCACGCAGATGGTTCCAGACTTCCAGTAGACGTTAGAAAGCCCGTCTCGTACGCAAAGGATATTGCCAGCAACATGGTTTTGATTACGACAATACCTTCAGTCCCATGGTCAAAACTGCCACCATTCACATAGTTACCGTTTAGTACGGGAAACGAGACAAAACAAATTGGAAAGGAACATTCACATAGTTACCATTTAGTGCGGGGAACGAGACAAAACAAATTGGGAAGGAACGTGCTTGTCCTAGGTTTGATGTGTGAAAGAAAGTCATGGGGACATGTTGTCCCACAGAATAAAATTTGATTAAATTTCCGTTTCATTTTTCTTGTGAAACGACTCGTTCCACCCATGTAACATAAAATTAGAAAATTTTAGGACAACAATGCTCCTTTATCTTTTTTAATATTTACACCATCCAAATCATAAAAGGGATATCTCTATACATTCTATTTTACTTCTCACATATTTTTGTAATTTCGACTGTCGATACGATGAATTAAACAAGATCAATTGATAGAAATTATCAAGAGTACGTGAAAAGTAAAATAAAATGTGTTGATAGCACACCCATCGTAAAACAAACCCTAAAATTCTATTATCTTCTTTCATCTTATCTGCCGCTGCTTTTTTCTCCCAGGTCTCTCGCAACCTTCCTCCTCATCCTCTCCCGTAGCCTCTCTTTTCTCTTCCCCACGGAGTGGAACTCAAAGCTCTGCATCTCCAGGTTCCAGGCTCCAGGTTCGGTCTTGCTCTCTGTAGGTCTTTGATTTTGCTTTTTTGTTTGGGTTTTACTTTTTCGTTTTCTTGATTTTTCTATGGAAAATTTCAATTTTCTGGGAAAATAGGATGATTCTGAGAAAATAAGTTAGTTTTCTTGGTTTCACTGGTTTAACTTGTGCTTGGGAATTGTATTTGATAAGTGGTCTGTTTGTCGATCAGTCTTCAGCCTTGTCTTCCTCCCAAAGGTCCAAAAAGGTAATTCCCTACACCACCTGCGCTGTAATGCCATCGGATTTGTGTTGTGTTAGCGTTATACAAGCTTTTTCTTAAACTGCCCTGTGGGAAAGAGCGCACAGAAGGTGTTCGACAAATTGCCGCAATGAGATAATTTTCAATTAGAGCGTACATTTGTTATATAGATTTAAATTTTCAGATTATACTTTATTGGGTCAAACCCTTTCGTGCTTGTGACTAATGAGTATGTATAATGTTAGAAGCTTTGTGCAATATACAAGTGGTTGAAGCATGATGGTATTTGTTAGGGAACTTTAACGAAAAGCTTCCGGTACTGTTCACTTTAGCTTACTTTTAATTTGTTTTTGAATTAGGCTGTTACAATTTTCAGTGGGTTAAGGCCAATAGCATTACTAGGTGTGAGAAAGAAGCTCTGAATTGTAGCAGAAAGTTGTAGAACAGACTGCCGGTATTTTCACTGTTGGCGGATTGTTGGGATTCTGGATCCTTTGCAGATTGCATTACGGTTTGTTCTATCAACATGCTTTCTCTATTGAACTCAATGTTACGTGCTTGATCATAATAATCCAATGCCAAGTTTAAGCCTTAGACAAACTTGCTTTTTCGGATGGTTTTGTTTTTCCATGTTGAATGCCTCGTTGTAGCTGTAAATACTATCCATTCTATTGTATTTACACGAAGTCAGGGCTTGTATGTTGTTGTTTCTGTGATTTGCAGGTCCGAGAATTACAGTTCCGAGGAGTCTTCGGTGGGCGGCTTGTGGAGCGGTATCTGTGAGCTCATCCACTGCTTTGCTGGTTTTTAGAGTGCGAGCCCCAAAACATAGCTACTTATGACAAGGGAAAGCTGCGCTATATTCATGAAGGTTGTATCATCGTTCTGAGTAAGTTATGTCGGGTTTGTTAATCGTTACAGAGGAGGGGAGTATTCCATGATGGATATTTCGATTGATGAAGGATATGCCTTGAAATGGACGTAACATTTCGAGTATCGAATTAACAGGACTAAGAATCCTGCTTTTGTTGCATAAAAGTTTATTGTCTGTCTTATACGATGAGTCTCAGGAGCAGTTTCTCTTAGCAGGAGCCCTTGAATCTCCTGAAATTCGGACCTTGTTCCATTTTGCTCTGAACTTTCAATTTGATTTTGAGCATCCTAAACTTTCAATTTATGCTAATATTCCCCCAACAGTAAATTCTTTTACAATTTTTGTCATTTCATCTTGTACATTATGCCTGACCAACTTATTCACATCAATTTATATAAAAGTTTATCAAATATTTAGACACTGTTTTTTGTTAGAAGCAGTTTCTACATTCCTCTACAACCACAATAACTGAGACTAAAAAAAAAAAAATTATAATAATAATAATTCCAGGGTTTGGAACAAGTCTGCGCATTTGGTCAAGAACAAAAATGTCCTGTAATTTCTTATGGTATTGCTGATGAACATATTGTATGGCATAGGAGCCATCTATGCGAATCAATCCAGGCAAAGACTTGGATTTATGGTGGGCTTTTTGTGGTTGCAAGATCGCTTACAAAAACATTACTACAACCCCAAAATTACCTGATGAAGTTTTATGTAACCGATCATAGAAACATTACCACCACAAGCTAAAATCTCAAAACCCCAAAATCATTTGGTCAACAAAGGAATAGAGAGAATCATTTGGTAAACCTGCCTAGGTGCCCCCTAGGTCACGATTCTCATTTAGACAGAAAGTCGGTAACTTTAATTTTTGTATTCTATTTTGTCAATAAAATGTAAGAGACTTGTTAAATATTTGGATGAATACTCATTATATGCTTGTTACCTATTTTGCAATACATTCAAAAACTTTGTAATTTGTATGTCATTTTATTTTACAATTGATAGATCACAATATAATTATATTTTTTTAAAGTATAAATATACATTTATTTATATAATATATAATAAGTTTTGCTTAAAATTCGTCTAGTCCGCTCAGCCTCCACGGTTCCACCGAAATCCCGCCTTACCGCTTAATAATACCATTACCTACTGTTGACCAGTCTCAACAGGAGACAATCTATTTCCCCAGCTTAAAAACCTAGGTTTCCACACGCTTAGCCAACGACACCGGACATTACTCAAATTAATTCTTTAGTAAAATCCAGTTGACGTTTACTTTGATTTTCTAGTGCCTCCATCTCCTCATCAGAATGCCTTGTAATTGGGTGTTCAAAGTCACGCACCACGCAGATGGTTCCAGACTTCCACTAGACGTTATACAGCCCGTCTCGTACGCAAAGGATATTGCCAGCAACATGGTTTTGATTACGACAATACCTTCAGTCCCATGGTCAAAACTGCCACCATTCACATGGTTACCGTTTAGTATGGGGAACAAGACAAAACAAAGTGGGAAGGAACGTGCTTGTCCTAGGTTTGATGTGTGAAAGAAAGACATGGGGACATGTTGTCCCACATAATGAAATTTGATTAAATTTCCGTTTTACTTTTCTCCTGAAACGACTCGTTCCACTCATGGGACATAAAATTAGAAAATTTTAGGACAAAAATGCCTTTTTATCTTTTTTAATATTTACACCATCCAAATTATAAAAGGGATATATTCATACATCCTATTTTATTTCTCATATACTTTTATAATTTTGGCTGTCGGATACGATCAACTGATAAAAATTATTAAGAATGTGTGAAAAGTAAAATAAAATGTGTGATATTACAATCTATCCTAAAACAAACCCTAAAATTCTATCATCTTCTTCCATCTTATCTGCCGCTGCTTTTTTCTCCCAGGTCTCTCGCAACCTTCCTCCTCATCCTCTCCCGTAGCCTCTCTTTTCTCTTCCCCGCGGAGTGGAACTCAAAGCTGTGCATCTCCAGGTTCGATCTTGCTCTCTGTAGGTCTTTGATTTTGCTTTTTTGTTTGGGTTTTACTTTTTCGTTTTCTTGATTTTTCAATGGAAAATTTCAATTTTCTGGGAAAATAGGATGATTCTGAGAAAATAAGTTAGTTTTCTTGGTTTCACTGGTTTAACTTGTGCTTTGGATTTGTATTTGATAAGTGGTCTGTTTGTCAATCAGTCTTCAGCCTTGTCTTCCTCCCAAAGGTCCAAAAAGGTAATTCCCTACACCACCTGCGCTGTAATGCCATCGGATTTGTGTTGTGTTAGCGTTAGACAAGCTTTTTCTTAAACTGCCCTGTGGGAAAGAGCGCACAGAAGGTGTTCGACAAATTGCCGCAATGAGATAATTTTCAATTAGAGCGTACATTTGTTATATGGATTTAAATTTTCAGATTATACTTTATTGGGTCAAACCCTTTCGTGCTTGTGACTAATGAGCATGCATAATGTTAGAAGCTTTGTGCAATATACAAGTGGTTGAAGCATGATGGTATTTGTTAGGGAACTTTAACGAAAAGCTTCCGGTACTGTTCATTTTAGCTTACTTTTAACTTGTTTTTGAATTAGGCTGTTACAATTTTCAGTGGGTTAAGGCCAATAGCATTACTAGGTGTGAGAAAGAAGCTCTGAATTGAAGCAAAAAGTTGTAGAACAGACTGCCGGTATTTTCACTGTTGGCGGATCGTTGGGATTCTGGATCCTTTGCAGATTGCATTACGGTTTGTTCTATCAACATGCTTTCTCTGTTCAACTCAATGTTATGTGCTTGATCATAATCCAATGCCAAGTTTAAGCCTTAGACAAACTTGCTTTTTCGGATGGTTTTGTTTTTCCATGTTGAATGCCTCGTTGTAGCTGTAAATACTATCCATTCTATTGTATTTACACAAAGTCAGGGCTTGTATGTTGTTGTTTCTGTGATTTGCAGGTCCGAGGATTACAGTTCCAAGGAGTTTTTGGTGGGCGGCTTGTGGAGCGGTATCTGTGAGCTCATCCACTACTTTGCTGGTTCGATTGTTTAGTCCAGAGTGCGAGCCCCAAAACATGGCTACTTATGACAAGGGAAAGCTGCGCTAGATTCATGAAGGTTCTATCGTCGTTCTAAGTAAGTTATGTCGGGTTTGTTAATCGTTACATAGGAGAGGAGTATTCCATGATGGATATGTCGATTGATGAAAGATATGCCTTGAAATGGACGTAACATTTCGAGTATCGAATGAACAGGACTAAGAATCCTGCTTTTGTTGCATAAAAGTTTATTGTCTGTCTTATACGATGCGTCTCAAGAGCAGTTTCTCTTAGCAGGAGCCCTTGAATCTCCTCAAATTCGGACCTTGTTCCATTTTGCTCTGAACTTTCAATTTGATTTTGAGCATCCTAAACTTTCAATTTATGCTAATATTCCCCCAATAGTAAATTCTTTCGCAATTTTTGTCATTTCATCTTGTACATTATGCCTGACCAACTTATTCACATCAATTTATATAAAAGTTTATCAAATATTCAGACACTGTTTTTTGTTAAAAGCACTTTTACTGAAAAAAGTTTACCAACTAAATTTTTTTATTTTATAGTTGTTTATTCTCACAGAATAAGAAAAACAGTTTAGTTAAAAAGCACAGCAAAAGCAGTTTCTACATTCCTCTACAACCACAATAACTGAGACAAAAAAAAAAGTATAATAATAATAATTCTAGGGTTTGGAACAAGTCTGCGCATTTGGTCAAGAACAAAAGTGTCCCGTAATTTCTTATGGTATTGCTGATGAACATATCGTACGGCATAGGAGCCATCTATGCGAGTCAATCCAGGCAAAGACTTAGATTTGTGGTGGGCTTTTTGTGGTTGCAAGATCGCTTACAATAACATTACTACAACCCCAAAATTACCTGATGAAGTTTTATGTAACCGATCATAGAAACATTACCACCACAAGCTAAAATCTCAAAACCCCAAAGTCATTTGGTCAACAAAGGAATATAGAAAAGCACAATTGTCTCGGAAAAAAAAAAAAAAAAACTACATCGAAAGTATTTCAGGTACACATAACGATGATATACTCTCGTCACGAATAAGTGAGAGTGAGATCAAGGTGAAACATCACCGTTGTAGAACTGTGCCATAAACTCTTGAAATTTTTAACTTGTCATATTTTTATATCAAATATGGTGTAAACTTAAACATTATTATTTCTCTAAAATATATATTGACGGGTAAGGTGCGTGAATGTTGGTTAGTAACGATGATTAATCATCAAACTCAATGTCAACAACAATTACATAATAGAACAATTGGCTTCTTGCGGATATTGATCATGAACTACGTGATAGTGTAGAGGATATTGTGGATATTGGATATAGCTTGATGTTCAAGTTATTGGATAAGTAGTTGGCTTTTTCTCGTCAGTTTTTCCTTTAACTTCTTCAACACTTAGTATGGTGGCATGGCCAAGCTTCTTCCTCAACGACATGGTCAATCTCATGGAATCAACTCCATCTCCAACACCTCCAGTTGCCCTGTCTCCGCTTCTATCGACACTTTGCTCACGCCTGCTTACATGAACGATCATATGCTAATTTTCATTTGTTAAGATAAAAATATTTATATTGTTACCAAAGAATATATAAAAAATAAAAATAAAAATAAAAAAAAGAGTGCCCAAGTCATCTTCGTTGATAGAAGGCTAACGATAGCCTGAATTATAATTTAGCCCTCTAAAATACATACTTTAATGTATGGCTGAGGCCACATGGGTTCTAAAAAGATTTAGCCTTCGCTAAAAGGCTTGCTATATTTGGCAAGCTAGGTATTATTCTGCTTTGAAAAAAAAATTGATTCCACTGTGCTGTGAGAATAAATAGTTATGAAATAAAACAGCAGAGTGTTTGGTAAACTTTTTTGTAAAAGTGCTTTTGGAAAAAAAAAAAAAACAATATTATAGTGTTTGCTAAACCTTTATGTAAAATAGCTTTGACTGTGTGAAATGACCAAAAAGGGTATAAAATGAGTATAATGTTCAATGTAAAATAATAAACCAGCTTTATCTTTCTTTTATCCATCTTCCTTTATTAATAATCTATGTCTTTTATTTATTACTAATCTCTCTAGAAGTCTCTTATCTTTCTTTTATCCATCTTAATTTGTTAATAATCTATGTAGAAGTCTCCCGACTCTCCCCCACTCCACAATTTTCTGTCTTTATTTTTTTTTTCTGTTCCTGCTTCATCTTTTTTATTTTAATTTCCTCCTTCATCTAGTTGACATGGCAACTGCCATCAGAGCAAGACTGCTTCGCTTCGCCTCTCCAATCCTCTGCGGGCTTTCGTTAATCTCATCCTTTTGCCTATCAAACGAATCGATAACAACCGATTTAGCATATCGACGATGTCCTCAGCAAAACGATCTTGTAGTTCTGTAGTGGCAATGAAAGGGTTTTAGAGGGATTGACTGATGACAACGACAAGCTTCTCACTGTCTCCAGTCCAACCTCTCTTCCTTCTGCAAGCAGCGACTTAAGGTTATCTCTTCCACCTCCTCCTCGTTTTTTATTTTTTTTATTTGAAACAAATTCAAAGTTGTAAACTTTGAAGAAGGAGAAATTGAATTGTTGTTGTTCTTTTTGTCTGCAGATTCTTGAAGTAGCAGAGGAAAAATGATAGTTTTATGATATTTTTTTTTTATGCGATTATCGGTTTTGGTTGTGGTAGTCTGGTGGGTTTCTGTGTTTCCATTTCTTGTGTAGGGGAACAAGATTGAGTCGATTGAAGTTGTGGGTTCATGCGTCAGATGATGGAGACAAATCCATTGGGTCTCGTAGGAGAGAGAGAAATCAATTTGAAGCCAAGAAGGGGTTGGGTTCGAGGGACGATGGAGATCGGTGAAGCCGTTTCTGGTTCGAGGGTGTTATTGGACTTTAGAAAGTTTCATTAAAGATGCACTGTAGCTCTGCGTGCTTTGAAAAAAAGCCAGTTTTCCAGCAGCATTTAGCTGCTTCAGTTTTGCTGATGATTTCAGCTGTCAATCACAGCAGCTTCCAAAATAATCCCCTTTTGTTTTAGTTTACCAAACACCTTCAACATAAAAACTTTGAAAATAAGTAGCTTTTTTTTAAGCACCTCAATGCCGAACCATACCTAATTTTAACCTGCTTGCTGGAGAAGGTTTTTAGATATTTCTGGACTAAAAGATCCATTCAGATCATGGACGAGGATGGCCTTAAGTTTAAAGACTGCTGCATATATTTTGCATACCTTTAGCGACTGCAGCAATCTTCAAGGCCTTGGTTCTGAGTTTTTCACAGCTCAATTGCACATTCATAACTATCTTTTGCTACACCTTTGTATAAAAATCTAGCTATTTTCTGTACGGAAACTCTATATTTTATGAATCTATGAATTTCTGTTGTGTATTTTTGTTTCTTGGACTTGAGCACTTTAGAGGTTAATAAAAAGTACCGAAAGCTATGCTATATTTATAGCACTATTCTAAAAATCTCTACCTAACATTGCCTAGGCCTCGCCTAAGAGCTAGGCAGCTAGCCATGATACTGGTTAGTCTCTAGGCGTTTAAAAACTAAGAAAGTGGTCCTAAATCCACTTAGGCTTCCGCTTATCCTGCTTAGGCGCTTGCCTAGCTTGCCTAAACCTGCTTATGTCACGACTCTCATTTAGATAGAAAATCGGTGACTTTAATTTTTTATTTTATTTTGTCAATAAAATGTAAGAGACTTGTTAAATACTTGGATGAACACTTACTATATGTTTGTTACTCATTTTGCAATATGTTCTAATACTTTATAATTTGTATGTCATTTTATTTTGCAATTGATAAATCACAATACAATTTTGCATTTTGTAAGTCTAAATATGCACATATATATATATAATATAATAAATTTACATAAAATCCGTTTAGTTTAGTTCGTTTAGGCCTCCACCTAGACCCGACTAACCGCTTGATAATACTAGGGGTAGGCAAACGGGCCCTGGGCCTGCAGGTATGGGTGAGTACTAGCTGTTCGGGGTGGGTCCATATTATGTTATATACCAAACGGGGCGGGGCGAGGCGGGTCCAAGTAAACGGCAGGAAGGGGCGGTTCCAATTTTCTAAAGACATGGGCCCCCGGCCCGGACCATATCCAATGAATTGAATCTCCTCTCAATTCACTTTCTAGAAGACTCCCAATCTCAGACTGAATCTCCTCTCTCCATCATCCTTCTTGTGTCTAGATCTTCTCCCTCTCGATCTTTCTCTTCTAGAGTCCAGAATAACTTTCATCCCTATCGATTCTCGGTCTCTTTCTATTGAACTCAAAGGGAAAAATGACAAACTCAATATCTCTCTCTGTTGAACTCGAGGGGGCGAACAACGAAAAACGGGAGGCTTAAGCAGATTGGAGAAGACGAAGGTGAACAACTGGGTCGATTCTGTGGCACTCAAACAGATCGGAGAAGATGAAGGTGAAGAGATTGGAGTTGACCACCTAATCTGGTTTGACTCCCCAGATTCTGTAGTGCTATTAACTCGATCGATTTCGTTAAGCTTCCTCTCTCCGTTGTTGATGGCTTACCTGAATCCGTTGAGTCCACCTCCGAGCTACCATCAACAAAGCCCCCTACCTCAAAATAGCCTACGACTTGCTTAAGCATGTAGTCACACATTTCGTCCAACACTCGGGCATCAACTGGGTTGTGCACGACTTATTCTCAACCGTAGATTCCCTTCTGTGCTGAGGAAGACGACCTCAACGAGGTCATCCCTCACCTTTTGTGTTGGCAGAAAAAAAAAAAATAATTGGCTACAGTTGTTGAACTGAGGATGGACGCTTGCAGGATTTTCTTGCAGCGGTTAAGGAAAGAGTTTGATTTGATCTCCAACGACGTCCTCTTCCCGTCTAATTCAATTTCGAACTCAAATTTGACTAGGAATCTGGGTTCTAGAACATTGGAAATTAGAAGAAGAAAAAAAAAAAAAACAGGGTACCCGTTGGACCCATAGGAACCGACCCGTTTTATACGGGCCGGATTAGGTCCGGTTCTTAGTTTTAAAATAGTAAAATCCGCCCCAGCCCGGCTTCTTGTATTTTCAAGCAGGTCTGGTCCAGAATGCCTTGTAATTGGGTGTTCAAAGTCAAGCACCACGCAGATGGTTCCATTGAATGTTTATAAAGACTGTCTAGTAGCTAAATGATATGGTCAACAACGTGGTTTTGATTACGACAATACCTTCAGTCCCATGGTCATAACTGCCACCATTCATATAGTTCTTAGCCTTGATGTTACTCATGGATGGTCCATCCGTCAGTATGAGAATGTGAAGGTAAAAGAGTTTCATGTCAGTAAACTAAGAAACCTTGCAAAGACTTATAAAAGGTTGGGCTATTCCCTATATTGCCAATTGATTTTATTACCCTCTTCTTTATTCATGGCATCATAGCAGGTTGGCCTATGTGTGAAGTCCAAAGGCCACACGTGCTTCATGGCCACCTAATTCATGTTGTCCACGTGTTTCACTTAAAAATTCGCCGCACGTAAAGTGATACGTGGGAGTAAAATTTAGAGGCTCGTTTGATACTTAATTTACTTATAATTTTTAGTTTTAGTTTTCATTTGTTAGCTAAAGATAGAGGACAAATACATTATCATCTATGTGACTGTTGCTGATGTGTATGTAGTCCTAGGACCCATCTATGTGGAGCTTATCCTGAAAACATATGGTGGAGTCTAATTGGTATTGGTGCGATTGATCAACCTTGCATGTAATATTAATTTGAGCCACCCGTTTAGTCTAGAACAAATTTTTATTTGTTCGGGCTTTATCTGTTTGGTATTAGTTCCATATGATATGAGATGATAATTAAGTGATAAATCTTATCGATCAAAATATTGGATTTTTTAGACATTTTGAGTGTAGAATAAATGCTTTTAATCACTTGAACTATAAGTTCCTTATTAAATAATAAAAGTTCTTATACTTGGGGTATCTATTTTCTATATCACTGAGAAGAAAAGAACTCAAGTAAAAGCGCTTATTTTAGTATCCTTAGAACCCATCATAGTACGCATGATACTGTGGATAGTGAAGATAGCTTGATATCCATGGAATTGGAACCGCTGGCTTTTCCTCCTTTTCTTTTTTCACTTCTTCAACAACTACTATGGTGGCGAAGCCAAGCTTGTTCTTCAACAACTTGGCCAAGCAAACGGCATCAATTCCATTTCCGATCACCTCCACCTGCCCCTTGTCTACTTCTATGGACACTTTGCTCACACCTGCTTATGTGGTAATTAACCCATAACTAGTTAATTAATTAACTGAAAATATGACTTTAATCCCTAAAACTTAATTTTCTCCATATAAAACCCGATATAAGTTTTTTACTCGAATAAAACTCATTGACTAGATTCCACGTCAGCAAATTCATTAATGATATTTGACTTTACACATTTAAAAATTTTCAATGCCCACTATTTGAATGTTTGATTTACACAATTAATTCCATACAAATTGTAAGGGATAATTAATGATTTTACAAAAATAAAAATAATAAATTCATTGCCTAATATATAATACCAATAAAACATGCCTAATAAATGTAGTAATACATGCTCAGTTAAGTTAATAAAATTATATTTTAGATATAAATGTAGGTAAATTATTTCACACACACATATATATATATAACAACAACAAAAAAACATGCATGATATACATAAAAATTCATGCAAAATAATTTACCTACATAATAAAGCATACCCAATATATGCAAAATAATGTACCTACATTAAAAAATTATTATTTTATTCAATACTAGTTTACCTATTATTTGTGCATATAATAATAAAATGTGCCTACATACAAAATAAAATACCTACATAATGGACAAATGTTATTTGATTCAAAATTAATTTACTTACAAAATAAAGCAATTGTATTTTATTCAAAAATTACTTTACCTATTATTTGCACATATATCTTATAATAATAAAATGTGCCAAATATATGTAATAATACATGGAAAATAAATTACCTACAAAATAAAAGAATGTTATTTGATTCAATATTAATTTACCTACATAATATATGTTATTTGCTCATCATAAATTTAAATATAGGTAGATTAATTAGTTTTCAAACATATATGTAGCACTGTTCATGTGTGTGTGTATATATATATGTGAACGTATAGTAGTACTATATATATATAGGTAAACTATATATGTGTGTACACACACACACACACACATTGAGCTTATGGTAGTAATATATACATTTGAACGTATATATGTGTGCGTTAGGGGTAATAATATGTGGAATAATTATATTTTCATTGTAATTAAGGTGAGTAATAACATTTAATGATTTTATTTTAAATATTGTGGTACAAGTTGTAAACATTTTGTAATAATATGTCAATTACTTCTATACTTGACAGTCATTTTTAAATTTGGGTTTTATTTAGATGTTTATAACTAGGTGGGTTTTTGTCTAGGAAATAAGAGTTGCAAGTGTCTATATCTAAATAACCCTTAATTAATTAATCATCAGTCATTAAGGCAGTCACAAATAAATTTGTAGTTATCTGAAATTTGATGCAAACCTTTGGTCTTTGCAGCAATCTTCAAGGCCTTGGTTCTGCACTTCTCAGAGTTTAGTTGCACTTTCATGACAATCTTTTGCTGCATATATGAAGATCACACATAGTTAAAGCCTTTGGTTTCATCTTCCTAAAAATGAAAACGTAACTTTGATAAAACAAACAGAATATGTTTTTTTTTTGGGTATATAAGTGATCCTTGGGAGGAGGGACCTTCAAATATAAACCTCGTGTATGAGATAAACACTGTTAATTACTTGAACTACAATTACGGTGCAATGAATATTGAAACACATTATGTTTTAAGAACAAATTAATGAAAAGGCTTGCCTTCATGCTGGAGAGGGAAGGTTGCGCTTTGGGAACGCAAAAGCACTCTATAAATCTATCTATGAATGAATACATCTTTTTCTCTACTCTAACACGTACAAAGTACTTGGAATGTTATGCTTTATTTATAGGAGCCTAGTCTTTGGAAAATATATTACCTTGGGTTGACCTGTCCCCACAGATACAGCGAACTTAAACTAGACTTCAAGAAAATAGATGGAAACCAACATTTCCACAAACTGAGACAAAACTGTGCTTAGGTTCAAATTTGGCTCCAAAATACTTTGATTTTTCAGACGGAACACAAATAAAAGGGGGAGAGAGACGTTCCAACATTTCCACAAACTGAGCCAAAACCGTGCTTAGAATTTTCAGATGGAATACAAATTAAGGGAGAGAGAGAGGAGAGGGAGATAGAGGTATTTTACATATATATATATTTGGATAATGCTTGCATTTCTTTTTTTGGGATACGTACGTTCATTCCTTCATTTGCGAATGATGTATTTTTACAGTATAAATTCATAATTGGGATCGTTCAATATCTTAATTTTCTTTTAAAGATCATTTCTAAAAAAATCATTTGAATTGGAGATCGTTTAGTCATCCAATTGTATCAAATAAATCAACAAGTCATCATGAATATGCTACTTGGTACTTATGCTGTTGATTTATTTGATACATTTAGATAACTAAACGATTTCCAATCCGAAGGTTTTTTTATTTTTTTATTTTTTTTTATATTTATAGGGATGATCTTCCAATGAAGATTATAAGAGATTAATCAGCTTTGATTATTATTCGCAAGTAAGGGAAAGCAAGTATTATTATGGTAGCAAAAATCCGTCATCTTCAGTCTTGACGAATTTGTACGTACAAAACAATTAACATCTTTGATCAAAGACAACACGAGGTGGGGGGGGGGGGAGTTTGGCTAATGGATCTCCGATGCCTAAATCAGTATCTTTAAAAAGGGTGAGTATTTAGGACTTCTATGCGTAGCAAAAGCTTACCAAAATTTGGTAGAGATGGAAAGTATGTTTGCCTATGTGTTAGTTTTATGTGTTTAAATAGGTTTATTAATTTATAAAAGTACAAGAAAGATAATGGCTTGATAAATAATAGGGGTGCAACTTGAGTTGGGTTAACACGAATCGCTCATGTCTAATTTGATTTCAAACCCAATCGGGCAGGTTGGAATGAAGTAGAAACCCGTCCAAACCCCACCCGACCATTTATTGGGTTGGGTTCAGTTGATATCTTGTCCACCCATTTCAACTCAACCTCGATTTCTAACCCGAACTCTATCATGCACATATTACCCAATCCGCTTTGTAGTATATAAGTTAGGTACATGTTTTGTTTGGGATGACCATGGATAAGATTTTTTGTTGTTTTTTATTTGAACAATGAGTCCTGATGTTGCTTTTATATTCTTTTAGTTGAAATTTTGGTATTCTTTTGTAATTTTATTTTGAACTTCGCATAGTTGAAATATTCGATTTGGTCTCCACAATATTTGGTTTACTTTTGTGTGGATGATGTGTAAAATTGAATTTTAACTAGTATTGACGTTGTAGGGTTTAAAAATTTAAAATCTTGCAAAACAAGGTGTTATAAGATTGAACTTGATAAAGTTGGACAAATCCCAACACAACCCAAGTAAACCCGAACCAAATTGAACCTGAACCCAACCCAAACGTGAATTGTGAACGTTGGATTAGGGTTGGGTTGACCATCCAATACGCCCGAGTTGCACCCGTACTAAACATAATGATACTCTTACTTGATTGATTAAACATCTTTGATTTCATCTAAAATTTATTTTTGACGGTCCCCTTGAGTACATGAACCATGTTTGATAAATTGGACATTTAGCAGGGCCCACTTCGTAATCTACTTTAACGATCCAAATCGTTTATATTTTAGTATATCATTTATAGATCATTGGTGCACAAAATTAGACAAATCCAAAATCATTAAGACATTAATTTAGAATGAAGAAATTGGACAAATACAGCTTTACAAAGAAATATTAGAAGTATAAAATCAATGATTGAGCTATTGAGAAGTGTCATTAGATTACATAAGCAGTTATAATAGTTGTAATGGTAGCTTATCTTGTAAGGTGTCATAGTTAGGACAATATATACTAAGCTTGTAAGAAGATATGAGTTAGTTAATGAAACAACACAATTGAGCTCCTTCTTCCTCTCTAAGTAATGGCACGATCTCTCTCTGTCCGTTCTTCATTCTCTCTCTCTAAGGTTGTGCATTCTACATTTGATTGATCTTGGTTTACAAGAAACAATAAATTTAATTTAACAGTCATATGATTTCGAATTTGGATAATTTTCTGTAAACATGATCTGTGAGGTAAGACGTAAAAGATAAATGATTAGATAATTGAAATACATTACATAGTGAACTTCACAAAAATTTGTGTCCAATATATGTGAAAAACATGTGCCACCGGATCCTAATAATCCTATATATAAGTAACTAAATGATAAAGTTTCTTGACAACCGGTCAACTGTACATAGTCTAATTACTAATTATTTATACTATGATAGTATCCAAAATGAGTGAGAGAACAAGAACAAAATCAATCAATTGCAACTTTCATCATCACTCCACGTTTAGTCAAGGACAAAGATATCCTGTAGTTACTTATGGTATTGCTGATGTCGCACGGCATCGGAATCATCTATGCTTGTGAGTCAATCCAGGCAAAGACTTATACTTGTGGTGGGCGTTTTGTGTTTGCAAGATCGCTTACAAAAAAAAAAAAAAAAAAAAAAAAAAAAAACATTACCACAAGCTAAAAGTTTCTCCCAAAATTATTACCTGATGAAGATTTAATGTAATCGATCACCAAAACATAATCACCAGTCTCACAAGCTAAAAACTCAAAGCCCCATAACATCATTTGGTCATTAGCCCTATTTTGAATGCATGCCTCTATGAATTGCAGTGAAAAAAAAAAAAAACACTACGTGAGACATGTTTCAGGTACACGTAAGTATTTTTCTATAAGCTGAAGTATAACTTTCAAGTAACAATGATGTACTGCCCCCACGCATGAGTGGGAGTGAGAGTGGAATCGAGTTGCAACATCACTGTTATAGATGTGCCCTTAACTCTTGAAAATTTTCACTTGTCAATTTTTATTTTATCAAAGGCAGTGTAAACTTAAACCTGATTCTTTCTCTTAAATGTATATTGATAGGTAAGGTGCGTGGATTCTCAGTTGCCCAATTTATAGTAGGAGACAGAGGTACAATTCCATGGTTAAAAAGATCAAACAAAATCTAAATTGTGAGTACAAGTATAGAGATTATAAT